TCACCCCGATCCCCAGGAAGTGATCAAAGGGTTTTCCATTTCGAACGAGTCTTTCACCCTTGCCTGGGATGCGTTGGTCGAACGCTATGACAAGCCGCGCAGATTGGCGTCGTCAATCATCGACAAGTTGATAAACGCTCCTGTTGCTAGTTCGGAGAATCATGCTGCTCTGCAGAAGTTCCTGTCAGTTTTTGATGAAAATATTGCGATCTTGGAATCGCTTCAGATTCCGGATTTATCGTCGTTCTTGTTGTTCTCGTTGGCTGCTCGGTGCTTACCTACATTTTCTAGACGCCAGTTCGAGTCTGAAAATAACGAAGAGTATCCATCGATCCAGAGTGTGATCAAGTTTGTCAAGGCAAGGATCCAGGTTATTGAGAACGCTGGTGTACAGCCGTCGGGAAGTTCGTCCAAACCGGCCAGTAACAAGAAAGCTGTTTTCCGGCGAGATGCTAAGACAACTTTAGTAGCTACTAATTCTTCAGCAGCTGCCAAACCTACATCGTCCAGAATGATCCAAGCAAAGTCAGTTTCCGCGAAGTGCTTCATGTGTTCTGGTGCTCACCAGTTAGCCGATTGTTCAAAATTCAAGGCCTTGTCTGTCGATGAGCGATATAAAATCGTATGCACTCATCGTCTCTGCATGGTCTGCTTTGGTGAAGGTCATATGTCTTTCAAGTGTTCGACGTCATGTGCCACATGTAAGCGCCGTCATCATGCATTGCTACATCGCGATTCGGATTCGAAGACGGTCGGTCCACCAGCTGCCATGCTTGGTCGGCTACAATCCCCAACGGTGCTACTAGGGACAGCTCTGGTCCAAGTGCAGGACACAGTGGGGAGTTGCCGCACTATACGTGCACTAGTCGATTCGGCTTCGCAGATAAGCGCGATAACATCAAGTTGCTGTGAGCGCTTGGGGCTCAAACCATCGCGTTGGACAGTTCCCGTCACAGGACTGTCTGGTCAAAGGGTACCGGATGTACACGGCGTCGTTCAACTGAAGATCCAGCCGCGAGATCGCCCTACGCCGTCAATAAGTGTCAAACCTTGGGTGCTGTCTTCAATCACTACCGACATGCCAGCTCGGCAATTACCCGCTCAGGTCCGGGCTAGATGTAGCCACTTGACTCTGGCAGATCCGAGTTTCGACAAACCTGTTCCAGTCGATATGCTCATCGGCGCCGACATCTTTCCACAAGTCTGGAATGATAAGAGCAGTTCGTTAGGCCCAGGATTCCCATCGGTGTACAGCTCGGTCTTCGGTTGGGTCCTGATTGGTCCGGTACAAGAACATCCAGACATTGGAGCTCAGTCAATGTTGGTGTCCTTGGCGTCCTCGATGGAAGCTCTCATGGAAAGATTCTGGTTGGTAGAAGAACCGGACGCGGCTCCGCAGCAATTCACGGAAGATGGTCTGTGTGAAGAGTTGTTCCACTCGGAAGTCAGCAGGGATTCGCAGGGTCGATTTTCTGTGCCACTTCCTTTTCGCTCAGGCCAACCAGTGAAGTCCTTTCCGGGTTCTCGGCAGGTAGCCCTCAATCGGTTTCTGCAGCTAGAGCGGAGGTTGGCAGCAGATAGCATCTTATATGCAGCTTACCGCAAGTTCATGTCCGAGTATGAGGAACTCGGTCATATGACCCGGGCCGAAGGTGCCGGACAGTATTATATCCCGCATCATGCGGTCCAGAAGGTTGAAGGGGATGATGTCAAGCTTCGAGTAGTGTTCGATGCTTCAGCGAAGTGTCACTCGGGAATGTCCCTCAACCAGTGTCTGCTGGTAGGCCCAAAACTGCAACAAGACATTGTTGATGTTCTGGTTGGGTTCAGGGTGCATAAGGTGGCATTCACAACGGACATCTGTAAGATGTATAGACAGATTGAGGTGCTGCCGCAATACCGAGGATATCAGTACATCCTATGGCGTGAATCACCTCAAGTCTCTGTAAGAGAGTATGCCCTGAACACTGTAACGTACGGGGTAAATAGTGCTCCCTATTTAGCCCTGAGGGTTCTCCGCTTCATCGCCGACACGGAATGTGCAGATCAGCCAGACGTGAAGGGAGCGTTATATAACCAAACGTATATGGATGACATATGTGTTGGCGCAGAGTCCTTGGGAGCTGCTAAAGTACTACAGTCCAACCTGATCAAGACTCTTGCCAGATCCGGCCTACAATTGAGAAAATGGGCTAGTAATTCACCGGAGTTGCTGGACCATCTGCTTCCGGAAGATCGTTCTGGAAGTCCGTTGACGTTTGAACAGAATAATGCCACGCATGTGTTAGGCATGTTGTGGAATCATGATCTGGACTATTTTTCGTTTACCGTCAACAACTTCAAATTGGTTCTCACAAAACGAGGTGTGCTGTCTATGATCGCCAGGATTTTTGATCCGCTAGGTATGCTGTCACCAACGATATTTTATGCCAAAACCATCATGCAACGTCTGTGGCTCTCACAGGTTGGTTGGGACAGTCGGATTCCATCGGATATCGCGGATGATTGGTGCCACTTCTACCATTCACTAGGTTGGCTGGTGGACATCCAGATTCCACGCTACATCGGTTGCTACACTGGTTGTAGTTATATTCTCTGCGGTTTTTGTGACGCCTCCGAGAAAGGATATGCGGCTGTAGCGTATCTCCGCGTGACTGATCCGTCCGGAGCTACGGCCACATACCTCCTGGGCGCCAAAACCAAGCTAGCACCAATGAAGACCATGACAACACCACGTCTGGAGCTAAGTGGTGCATTGCTCCTTGCATCTTGGTTGGCCAGGCTCAAGCGCATTTTGGAGTTCCAGTTGGGAATTTCTGATGTCTTCGCGTGGTCTGATTCGTCCATAGTTTTATCGTGGTTGAACATCCCGCATACATCGTTCAAGACGTTCGTGTCCAACCGGATATATCAGATCCAGTCCGCAGTACCCGGTTGCCACTGGCAACATGTGCGATCTGAGGATAATCCGGCTGACTGCGCGTCTCGAGGTCTCCTCCCTGACGAGCTTAGGCGATGCAAGCTCTATTGGCGGGGTCCGACCTTCTTGCAATCTCCAGTCGAAGCTTGGTCTCAGGAAATCCCACAATTAGAGTTGGAAGAGCTGCCGGAAGTAAAACCAGTGTGTTTATTGACTTGTGAAGATCCTCCAGTCGAATGGTTTATTCGGTTCTCCTCCTTTCACCAGATGATTCGCGTACTAGCTCAGGTACGTCGGTTCATCCGGTTGTGTCAAAGGAGAAAGGTCGAGCTAGGTTTTCTCAAACAAGCTGAATTGGATGAAGCTACGCTCGTGATCGTTAGGAGTGCTCAGAATTGTTATTTGAGCCAGCTAGTAGACGGCCTGCGTCGGGGGAGCCCGGTCCAGTCCAAGGCGCTAGCTCGTCTGTGCCCGTTCTTGGATTCAGATGGTATAATCCGCGTTGGCGGACGGATGCAAAACTCCAATTGGTCGGAGAGACGAAAGCATCCTATGTTAGTTCCGAAAGAGTCTCATTTAGCCGTTCTGATCACACGACATTGGCATCTCTACGCGTGTCACGCCCGACCGCGTTTGCTCATCGCTCTCGTACAACAACGATTTTGGGTCATTGGCATTCGCCTGATAGTTCATCGGGTGATTCGAAAATGCGTGTTATGTGCAAAAATGTCGGCTGATCATCCACAACCCATCATGGCTGCTCTGCCAGGGTTCCGGGTCCGGGAAGCCCACCCGTTTTCAATAGTCGGCATAGATTACGCAGGGCCCTTGCAAATGAAGGAGCTCAGTCTGCGGAAGGCGCGCATCGTTAAGGTTTACATCGCTGTTTTTGTTTGTATGACCACCAAAGCGGTGCATCTAGAACCAGTGTCTGCCCTCTCGACGGAAGCTTTCTTGTTAACCCTGGATAGATTCGTAGGTCGCCGTGGCTTACCGTCGGCCATCTATTCGGATTGTGGCACCAATTTCGTTGGTGCGGCGAGGCAGCTGCGTCAATTGGTCAATAGTCCGGACAGTAGAGATCAGTTCTCAGGTCATATTGCGTGTGAATGGCACTTCAACCCTCCTGGTGCTCCCCATTTTGGAGGAATTTGGGAAGCCGCCGTTAAGTCGGCGAAGTCATTGCTTGTTCGAGCAATGAATTCCCAAATTTGGACTCTAGAAGAGTTTTCAACGGTGTTGTGTAGGGTAGAGGCTGCTCTGAACTCGCGTCCCCTAATACCAGCATCATCTGACCCAAATGATCTGGAATGTTTAACGCCCGGTCATTTTTTAATTGGTCGCCCTTTGTTGTCAATCCCAGAGCCTGTTAGTACCAGCGCACAAGTGGGACTGCGGACTCGCTGGAAGCTCCTCCAGCAGTCCTTCCAATTCTTTTGGCGACGTTGGTCTCGGGAGTATTTGAACACCCTCCAAGCTCGTGGTAGGTGGACGAAGACTGATATCAATCTCGAAGTTGGTACTATGGTCATCGTCAAGGTTAATGATGCGCCTCCGCTATCGTGGCCATTAGGAAGAATCATTGAGGTGTATCCAGGAACCGACAAGGTGGTACGGGTAGCTAAGGTTATTACTAAACAGGGGGTGTTCACCAGACCAGTGGTTAAACTAGTACCTCTCCCCACAGATCCGTAGGTATTGAGACTCCCCTTAGTCCCTGTTTCCTGTATCCATTTGCACTTTATATATTTGTATGTTATTGCTACGCTCATTATGTAAATAATTCATTTTCTTACCAACCATCACCACGCATGCTGCTGGATGTTTCGTCGGCTGTTCTGCCTCGGGTACCAGGTGAGGTATGGTATTTTTTATTGTTTGTTTTTTGTTATATTTTCAGGTATTAATCTGTTATAATATTTGTATATTTAAAAAAAAAATGTAACTAAAGACTTTGTTTGTGATATCATTTAACTTGTGTTCCTATTGTTAAATATTGTAATGCTAGTCCAGCTATTGCTCTAGCCATTGGTAATGTTATTAAATTAATATATTTCGTTGCAAAAAAAAACTGTTAATGATGTTGCCCCTTTGTAAAAAAAAAACCCGATCATCGCTCTGGTCTGTTCAACTGCTCCGTTCAACTGCTCGTTCAACTGCTCCGTTCAACTGCTCATTCAACTGCTCCGTTCAACTGCTCCGTTCCACTGCTCATTCAACTGCTCCGTTCAACTGCTCATTCAACTGCTCCGTTCAACTGCTCCGTTCCACTGCTCATTCAACTGCTCCGTTCAACTGCTCTGTTCAACTGCTCCGTTCAACTGCTCCGTTCAACTGCTCATTCAACTGCTCCGTTCAACTGCTCCGTTCCACTGCTCATTCAACTGCTCCGTTCAACTGCTCTGTTCAACTGCTCTGTTCAACTGCTCCGTTCAACTGCTCTGCTCAACTGCACTGTTCAAGTGGTCACTTGCTCGGCCACCTACATCATGGTTGATCGAAGTCTGTTGCAAGTTCGCTGAACTTGCAAGGGGGAGTATGTTCGATCCGTTTGATAACAACATTGCCGCCGTCGGTGGTCACGCTCGACCGACCGCCGCAGTAACCATGTTCATGGGCGCTGCGCGCCGGCAGCCGCAATTTTGGCAACACTGGTAGGCTGTTACCGGCGCCCGGCGCAGGCGAGCTCGTTCGTACGCGCCACTCTCTCTCCGTTTTTCCGTTGCATCGAGTACCCGACCGCTCCGTCAACACGGTTGTTCTGCTCGCTCGCCCGTCAGCCATCTTTTCCCGTTTGGGATAGTTACGGAAAACGTGTTTATTGTTCAGTATTAAACATCGCGGTTGTTCGGCCGATTAACCGTATTGATCTTTTATTGACTGTCGTCGTCCAGTCTGCTCTCGTCAAGTTCGTGACAATCAGCTTCGAGTAGCTTTACCTACTATACCATTCTTCGCGTCCACGTGCGCGGTTGAACGTTCTTCGCTCCACGACACGACGGTGCACACGCTCGCACCCGTGATCCAGATACAGCAGCTCCGCACATACAGCAGCTCCGCACATACAGCAGCTCCGCACATACAGTTCACCAGCTCAAGACATCGGCCAGGAAGGCAGCTCAGTCGGTGATCCCCGTTTCCCCCCCTGTAACTTGTGTACTGATAGATACAATTAATTTGTTGTGCATGTAAGACTTAATACATGCCAATTCTTGTATATTTAAACTCAAATTGTTGTTATTTAACATTTGCCCTGCCCCGCCTTTATCCCGAGGACCGTGTGTCAGACGACAACCGCTAGTCAGGATCGTCGGCGCAAACAACGCCCCTGAGTAAATATTACTTATTACTAAAAACAGTGTACCTAGACACCTAGTCATTTTTGTCCAGATCGATCTACAAACATAATCCTAAACTCAACAATTTCATTTAAGATATAATTAGAAAATTTGCCTGGATCATTTGGGAATAACTCTGGTACAGAAACTATACAAATTATAACCACAAAACAATTATTGTATATCATACCTAATGTCCTAATGAATATTATACTAAATAAATAACTATTTAAATAATATAAAAATTATCCATATACATAATGCCGGAATTCGCAAGAACTCTACTTTTACTATCTATAAACAGCAACAATTTAATATTTACCTCCATCGATTTGATGTATATTTAAAGCAGATAGATTGCATGTTGAATTACATTCATTAAAATAGTCAGGTTGTGAACTTGTATCAATCATTTCACCAGAATTTTTACTAGTGTTTTGAGCATTGCTAGATTCACCAAGTCCAGACTTCAAAAGAACACCTTAAAAAATGCAATTTATTATTTTTGAATACTTCTAAAATTAAATTATTTAACAAAATACAATTTGACTACTTTTTATAATCATACATGTTAATACTTATAAAATAATTTTAAAAAAAAACCGTTTTTTAATTACACAATTAAAACATCAGAAAATACTCTGATATTAATATCTACCTATAAACAGAAACAATTTAATATTTACTTCCATCGATTTGATGTATACTTAAAGCAGATAGATTGCATGTTGCATTACTATCATTAAAATAGTCAGGTTGTGAACTTGTATCAATCATTTCAAAAGAATTTGTAGGGGAGAGTGGGGCAGATTTGAATGAAATTTACATTTTATTATTTTAATTTTTAATTTTTTGACAAATTTTATATTTGATAATTACAATCTGTAGTCTAGATAGTTGTGAATACTATTTGACTTATAACAACCTTATATATTAAATAACCAATTTAATTTCTAATTATGAAGTGAAGTATATTTTTATTCAAATGTACCGCACCCATGGGGTACATTTGAACGTGCAGGGGGTAGATTTGAATATGTGTCTTAAAAGCCACATTTGAATGTTAAATATTAAATTAAATTAAACTTTTTATTTATTTTAATAATAAAAATAGCTCAATATAATATAATAACAATTTTTTACAATTATGTTTAGATGTTTTCTTGTCAATTTTTTTTTATTGTGAAAATGTAGTATTTTTGGGTTTTCTTATAGATAAATCCACATCTTGTGACATAAATTCAGTTAACTAGTATATTCCATCCATAAGATAGATATTTCAAAAAGGAGGAACCTTTATTACACCCTATTATCTACCCTATTGATGAAGATTCAAATCTACCCCATGCAAAAAAAATCAATAATAATCGTAATATAAATTTTAATAATTATAAATAATGTATGTACATTAAATGTATTACTAGGCAACAATATTTTGAATAGGTATATTTAATTCTAAACTTATTATTTTGAATTTTAGTTTCCAAAATGTTCTTATGGAAACACCTATTTTTTTTAAAAAAAAAGCCGGAAAATCACATTATCATTTTTATTTATCACAAAATTATTCAAAAATGCCTGATAATCACATATGGTACCTATACGGCTATACAAAATATTGTCACCAACTTAGATTATTATTTTTATGAATGTAAATAATCTGTAACAAATTATATTAGACAAATTCAAATGTACCCCGCATTCAAATCTGCCCCACTCTCCCCTACTAGTGTTTTGAGCATTGCTAGATTCATCAAGTAAGAAAATAAGAATTCAAAATAAGAATATACACCAAATATTTTAAAAGTACACTCAACCCATTTTCAACTATGTATAATGTTTACATTTTAATTTTTGTACCTACGTACAATTCAATGCACAGTTAAATAATTTTAAGATTCCAGCTCTGTATAAAATCAGTATAAAATTATTGTGTTAGCGTTAATTAATCACACCGTAATAGTAGCAATGAGCGAATAAAAAATGCGTGTTTAAGTTTCCATTAAAAATGTAATTTATGTTTTTATACACCTCATCCGCACATATTAGATTCCTTCTGAGAAATATTAAAAATTTCAAATAGACACATTTTTATCCAAACTTCTAATCAAATATATAAAAAAAATTAGATCAGTTAATGAAAAAAATATTAAATTCATTGAAGAAAATGTACAAAAATATAAAACTGGACTAATCTATAGATTCGATTATGTCAGAATCATGTCATACAAAAATCAAACTAAAATTAAAAAAATAATATAAAAATACACATTTTAAGAGTCTCCAATATTATTTGTTGTACCCCTATATAAATCCGGTACTGGCCTCGATCGTTAAAATAATATAAAATATTGTGTAAGTAGGTATACTATTACTAGCGATCTGTGTGTCGTTACCAGTCGCAGCCCACAATGTAGATATTACTACATGATGGGCAAATTTAATTGGGAGGGGTCTTTGCTTTATTTTGATGGTTATGTTTTTGTTGAATATAATATTATACAAGAAGAATAAACAAAGAAATCCAAATATTTCGATAGTATACAAGTATCTTATTAACTCTTCCGAATTCTAGTAAATTATATTTTGATTTAATAACTATAGCTTTAAATGGTACTAAAGGTACAACATATCATACTGGCTTGTAAACCCAGAAATGGTAATACATTATATAATCGATCATAAACAGAATAGTATATGGTAACCATGTTATAGTATGTATAACAAAATATATAAATTGGTTATATACACGAATCAATAAAGATTGACGTGGTTAATATTTAATGGTTGCAACTATTATTTAGCAGTACCAGACAATATACAAGTTATAACAGTTAGGTACGTTTAAAATTTGGAATTAAAATCAACGATCTCACCTTTAGCCGGAGGATAGGTACGTGTGTGAGATACAGTTGTACCCACGCGGCCTGTAAAACAAGTTGTCTAATTGAAGCAGTTGTTTTCTGAAGCACTGGCGGATATATTGCGATAGAAAACCTGTTTCCATGTACCTGTCCAGTGGTTCACTAACGTACACCGGTGGATGCACGTAAGAGGGAAACAGTACCTGGGTGACGATTGCGACAAGAAGTTCAATACTAGAGGCAACCTGATGGTACACCGGCGGACACACACACAGGAGAGAAACCGTACCCGTACGAGATTTTCAACAGGAGGTTTACTAACAGCAAAAAATTAACGGTATACCGGTTGACGCATATGGGTCGAATCTCATAGATGTATGGTCTAAGGCAGCGTTTCCCAACCTTTTTGCAATGGCGACCCATAAATTTAATCTTTATGGGGTACGCGACCCCTAGCTAAAAAAAAAAAAGTAAACTGTAAATAAATAAGATTTTTATTAAAATACAACATACTGAACAATAATAACTTAATAAATAAATAAAATAAATTATAAAAAAAATACAAAAAATTAGTATAATAGAATATTTATTGCTGAATTTAGTGTGAACTTTGATTCTGGATGCTGTTGCATAAAATTTCCCATTGGGGTACAATTTCAGATAAACTGATGCGCATGTCATGTGTGACATCTAATCTGTTTCTTTGCTTTGTTTTAATATTGGCCATGGTAGAAAACCCTTTTTAAACATTAAACCAAATAAGTGGTAGGAAAAAGTAATAGTTTTTTTATTGCATTAATTGAAAGTTCTGGATATTCATTATATACTGCACACCAAAAATCTACAAGAGTTTCATTTTTACCACTGCAGGTCGTAGTTTTACGAATCATAAATTTATCCATTACGTAAAAATGTGTTAAAATAGTTAAAAATGCTTGTTGAATCGTAAACTTAAACTTTTCGTAGTCTCGATGTACCGCTCGTTGCTCAACTGCATATTATGGATTATGGACAAACGACCCAGACCGATCACATCGACTAGTCATTAGCATATATTTTACCGATAAGATAAGAAATATTCCATAATCGTAATAACTTTACGTAATTTACTCTACAATATTAGTTAGACTTCACATTATTATTATACAATATAAAATATAGATTATAGAATTATAGAATTACCTATAACATAAGCAATTATCAATTGCTAAAATAAATAACTGTAACCGTAACCTCGAGTCGCGACCCATCAAAAAAATTTCGTGACACACTAATGGGTCGCGACACATGGTTTG